CTAAAGGAGGTGGGAGCGAGGAGGTCCCAGAGCACTCTGCACTGGGGTTGCTCCAGTAGGTCATCTGGAGCTGAAGTAGTGTGGGCCTGGTGTGTTCCAGGGTGCTTTATGCTTGTGTCATCTTAGTGAGCTGGAGCTAGAGCCAACGGTGACCGGGGGTGCCCCAGTATATGCTGTGCTGGAGCCACCTTGGTGGCACAGCTTGGTTTGGTGTGGGAGGCTCGAGGCTCATGAGATGGCAAGCCAGCTGTGCTCCTGTCTGGGCTATAAGGTGGAGGGGAACGTAAACCATGGCACTCACCAGCCCCTTCAACTTGGAGAGTTCCAGCAGCTACCCTGCCAGAGAGTTCCAGGGCTGGATCTTTCATATTGTAGTTGTTTTTTAATTTTTTATTTTTTAATTTTCACTTTTTTATTAGTTTCAGAGGTAGAATTTAGTGATTCATCAGTTGCATTTAACACCCAGTGCTCATGACTTCAAATGCCCTCCTTAATGCCCATCACCCAGTTACCCCATCCCCCCGTCCACCTCCCCTCTTGTTGTTTTGTTGAACTGTGGCCAGCTCATAGCCCCTATCCCTTCCCACTGCAGTTTGCAGTTTCAAGGGGAGCAGTTTCCTTCATTAGTCTGTCTGGCTGTTCTCTATGAGGTCTTTCTTTGGTTGTGCAGGAGCTGTTCAGTCAACCCTCAGTTCTTCAGGAGTGGTTCCTCTATAAATAGGTGTAGGTGTGCTATGTACGTGGAGGACATGCATTCAGGGTCTTCCTCTGTTACCATCCTGGACCCCAAAAATCAAAGCTGTGTTCTTAATATCTGAATATTAATATTTTATAGAAATTGCAGAATTTTGCTAAACCTGAACCAAGTTTACCCAATAGTTAATGTAGTTACTCTTCATCTCTCCAAACTTCTGGGCCATGCCAGCTAGAACATTCCTTTATGGTGCTTTTCTGATGGAATGTTGACTTTACTTAGTTAACTGGAACATTGTGTTCATGAGTCTGTGGTATCACGATGATAGTCAAAGGAGGTGGCTGGCTGTGTGAGGTCCTTTCAGTTTCCTACAGAATACTCTTACTGTTAACGAGGTCTGACATACAATAATTAGATTTATTCCTTTGGCAGAAGTCTTGGTCCTATATTAAAAACCAGATATTTGTGGAAAAGGAAGTATAATCAGTCATTTGTACCTTAGCATGAATAAGTTGATAAGATCCTTCCCTGTAAGCAGGTTTTGAGGTGGGAAGGTGGACAGAACAAAGATTACTCAGAGTTTGAGCCTAGGGGTTCAGACTGCCATGACAGGATAAGCTAAGGATTGCAGAACAGTGATGCTTATGATGTGTCCTTAAAGCACCTGGTTACAGCTTGACCTGAAGCTTATACTGCTTAGGCCAGTGGCCTTGGGCCTTTTACATGTTTCACAGTCCCACTATCTTAACCCTGATCTTGGAAATAGAAGTCCTTAGATACAAGGAAAGGAGGGAAACTTCTATTTATTGATTACTGTCTGTGCCAGGAATAATGCAAAATGCTTCCCCTATACTATCTCATCTAATTCTATAATGTAAGTACTTTTATACACATAAGGAAACAAAGACTGGAAGAAATTAGTAACTTGACCAGGACATGCCACAGCCAGTAGATGACAGGGTTAAGATCAGCACTTTTGTCTGGTTCCACGACCCCTGGCCCTATTGTACTACACTTGGTGAAAATGAGAGACTAGTTTCACATAAATTCAGTATTATTACTAGACAAACAACCGGCTAGAGGGGTAGTGGTGGAAATTTCTTTATTTGAAAAACAGCAAATGTGTTCCCTTCGAAGGTCACCTGTTTCCCCCTGCTGTTTCTTATTCCTCACACAACTGCCTCCTACTACACACACACCATTTTTGTAGTCCACTTCTCTATATTGTAGATGGTATGGACAGACGCAGACACCGAGAGGGTTGTAGAATCTGCCTGTTCTCCATTGTTTTTTCCAGGCTCGTCCCCCTCATTTACGTGAATGTATCAAGGATGGCCAGAGTTAGTTATAGTCAAAATGAAAAACTGAATACTGTAGGCCTCTTTTCTTTCAACTATGAAGTGAGGATAAAATACACTTCATAGGCATCTTTCTGTGGATTTAATGGGATTCTGTATGTAAAGTGCTTATTAGCTAGGTGCCTGGAACATGGATATTTAATAATAAATGATAGCCATCATTAATAGATTCTGTAGCTATCTAAATATGGCCAGATAAATATAAGGATGAGTGGTATATATTTGTCTAGAACATCAGAACATTGATATTAGTTCTGAACTTTAGAATTAGCAGTTCTTATGACTTGAGAGCTACTGCACCAAAATTATGGCAGAAGCACATTATTGCAGGTTATTGAAGGCATCCTGCGACCAAAAAAACCCTAGCCCTTTGAGAGTAGCTAAGAACTTCATCCTGCGCCATTGTTTTCTATCTCCTGTTGCCCTAGGTAGCTGCCCAAATTGCAATTAATCCAGTATGTCTTGATTAGGTACCAAAATTATTTGGGAGGAAGAGTGACCTTGCAGAGTCTACAGTAGACTTGCCTCTCAAAGACAAAATGTGCACTTTGGCCCAGCCATGAATTTTCTCTACCATTAGTCTTTCTATGCGTTGGTTGAATTTAAGTTACTACAGCTGAAGAACTGGGGATGGTTTATAATAAAGGACCTTGATCAGAAATACTCAGGGGAGAAAAAAAAGCTGCTTTGAGTTACATGGGTGATTGTTTTCTTTAACATAGTAATGTAAACATTAAGCATTAAACATCATAGAAAGAAAAAAATTTACTGTTCAATTTGGCTTTGGAATCTTTTCTAGTGTCTACTGAGAATTGGATAAACTTCACCTTCAGTTGTGCATGACTAAAGAGTTGGTTGGCATTTATATTTTTAGTCATCACATGACAAACTAGGTCTAAACTGAAAAGTAATTTAGGTTAGGCAAGGAAAGTTCTTTCCATTGTATTTTCTCTTAGAACAGGAGCATTTTATTTTTTGGTCTTGATCACATAAGGGTATAAATATGTGGGAATGAAATACCTATAGATGTAAATATTAACTTCTGCCTTTTATTAGAAAATTTTTTTTTCATAAATTTAAGTAATCTCTACACCCAGCATGGGGCTCAAACTCACAACCCTGAGAACAAGAGTTGCATGCTCCTCTGATTAAACCAACCAGATGCCCTTAGAAATTTTTTTAAAAGAGTAAGACATTTTAAAAGAAGGGACTATATACTCAAGTAAATTAAAAAATCGGGGAATGTTTAGAAAATCAGTCATCAATATTTCTAATATCTAGCATGGTTTAAGAACAACTTTATGTCCCAATTAAACTAGAATCTGCATTGGGCACATACCCCCTATAGATTATGAAATCTGAGATAAATTGTGTTCAGCAAATGGACTGAATTCATTTAAATATAGTAGTGTAACAACTGGAATCATAATGGGTTAAACTTAATTACTATAACATGAGGAAACAAATGGGAGATGTTTAGTGAACCAATATGGGAAAACTTGAGCTTCTTATAGCAGTTGAGCAAAAAGTGTAGGTATTGCTCTTAAACGGAGCTGGATTTGTCTCTTACCCAGCACCCTTCCCACCTTTTTATATCAGCAAACAGATATAAGCACAGTTACACGACATCTCCGACCTATGTGCATGAGAAATTATTCCTAGCTGGCTCCCACTATGATCTGGCCTCAAGCTCTTTGAATTAAGAATGTTGAGACTAATAATCAAAATAAAGACCGGATCCATTTACTTACAGATTCGCAACAAAATCCTCCTTAGAGGGAGACAAAACTGACCACTGCAGGGTGTTAGCAGTGTTATATGCACACTCCTTGTTTTGCATGAAAATAGTGTGCTATCTAGTTAAACGCCTTTTCTTTTTACCAGCTTTTGCTCATCTTTAAAAAAATTGGGGTTTTGTTAGCAAACCTCAGCCCATAATGCACAAAGGAGGATATAGATTAGCCTTTCATAATTTACCAGGCAGTGATGGTAAATTCTTTTGAAACCTGATGCTGTATGTTAATCTTCCTTTGCTTTTAATAGGTAAAAGAAATATTCGATTTTGTAATAATGCATGACTCATTCATGGCTCATTGTCTTCCCACTGTTTGTTTTTTTGGGTTTTTTTTTGTTTTTTTTTTTTCCTTTTCCTTGAGCCAGCAAGAAAATCTTACATGAGAGGAGGGAGGAAAAGAGAGTTGAGGAATACAATACTTAAATACTGTTGCTCGATTCTCATTGGTTATCGCCTTTCTTACGGTGACCAGTCTAATCCAGCCTTCCTTGTCAAATCCCTTCCCTCCCCACCCTCCCTGCTAGGGGCTCCACAGGGTGTCTGCTGGCTAGAAGCTGACTTGCAGGCAGTATGTAGGCATCTTTCATCCAGAATGGACAGTAATATATTGAATAGAGAAGGAAGCTTTTAGAAATGTATCATTTGTCCAAATTGCATGGCTTTTAAAAAGAGATAGAGAGATGCTGAATGTTTTGTATGTTAGCATCGACTCTTTATTTCTGTTCAGACTCTTGAGTTTTCAGAAGCTTAAATATAGAGCCCTTTAAAAAAAAAAAAAAAGAAGAAAGAAGAATTTTTCTGGTTAGTCGACCTCTTTTTAAGAAGTGCTTCATCATCCTCCTCCACCTCTCCGCGATGTTTCTCTGCAGCTCTCTGTAGATTAGGGTTCTGTGCTGGCTGGCAGAATGCTCATTTGTTAGCTGAATAGAGTTCACCGACATAGATCAATATAGGTTTTATTTCTTTCCTGAATTCCAAAATGCCATCCAAAGAGTCTTGGTCGGGTAGGAAAGCTAATAGAGCTGCAGTTCACAAATCAAAACCAGAGGGCCGTCAGCAAGATTTATTGATAGCAGCCTTGGGAATGAAACTGGGTTCTCAAAAGTCGTCTGTGACAATCTGGCAACCTCTGAAACTCTTTGCTTATTCGCAGTTGACATCACTTGTTAGAAGAGCAACTCTGAAAGAAAACGAGCAAATTCCAAAATATGAAAAGGTTCACAATTTCAAGGTAAGAATATTTGTTTTTAACCTTTTCTTAGAAGAGAGAAAATGCACATTGCTTGCAATATACAGTGTTAAAGGAATCTCTTTTGAGGTCTTTTAAAAACTACGATGACTGGACTAAAATGTGCTTGCTATTTAAAATCATGCTTAAAACATCTTCATTCCTTATTTAAGGAATAGCTGACTAAAGCTAATAGAATCCAACTCCATTTTATCTAATGCTGATTTAGTACTCTGCTTAATCAATAATACACTCAATGGTAAAAGTCTGGACTGACATTTAAAAGGTCTCATTTAATATTGATTTTGGCATTATTTTTATTTGTGATGCAAATATATCTAACTACCTTTGTCGGATATTTCATGAGAGGATTAGATCTTATCTCCCTTCCTTCCTGGTAAAAAGCTTTGGATATAAGAGGCGTGTGTTATTGCATCTGGATTGAGCAGATGGTCTGCATTTCCCACAGTTTCTGTCTTTTCTCCTCTGTTAATGAATTGACCATGATGAAAGGAGGATGGCTACTCTGGGACTGTTACTGCTGATATAAGCAGCCTCTCTTTACTTTTTGAGTATTGCTTTCAGGGTGTGTGTGTGAGAGAGAGAGAGAGTTTAATTATTGTGTTAATGTGTTTTACCAACTATACTTTAATCATCTTTCGTCAAGATATGTGTGTGTTGATTCAAGTTGCCTGCATGCACAGCATGATACAAGGCCTTAGAGTTGGGTCCTTTGCATCTAACGGGGGAAACATGCAGTATGAGGCTGTACGTACAAACACCCAGGTACACTTAGTGGGTGTGCTGGCATTTCTAGTCCCTTCACAGGAGTTAGAAAACTTGATCATCAAGTTGGGTGTCTTTAGAGGTCATCAGTTTTAATGTTAGAGGGCATATGGTTTCAAAAGATGATAGGCTGGAAACCCTGATCTTCCATTTATTCAACATTTCTTCAGCAGATATATTCATTCAGAATGTACTAGGCTCTGTAGTAGAAAATCTCACTTCACATTTGCAATTCATCCTGATTTTTAACACTAGCATTTATTTCACTCAAAATGCTCAATACCAAGCCCCCCAAATGCTCTACTTTTTTAGCGAGGAATAGATTCTTATAATCTTCAGATCATTTTGGGATAAAGGATAAATTCTAAACTGGACTATATAAAGATTGCTAATATTTCAAGGTAAACCAAATAGCATTTTCTTCTCCCTCTTTAAACATATTGTTAAGGACCTTACCTTTCAACTAGTATCTTTGATTTTAAATGAAATGGAGACCATTCAGTATGTGCATCCACTGGTCAACCACCTCTTCCATTTTTGAACCTAAACAGTATATGCAAGTTACTAGGCCTCAGTTTCTTCTTGTATGACAAATCAGTCTTACAGGATTTTTATCCTGTAAGAGAATGACCCCAAAGTATAAAGTTATATGCATGCTCGGTCGAAAAAATAGCCATTGAGGTTTCTAAGCAAGAAACTAGAAACGGCTGAGATTTAAAAATACGTCTCTAAAGATGTCCCCTCTGGTGTGTTCAGCAGGAACAGACTGACCTATTAAGGATGCCATTTTAGTGCTAAATCAAGTTCATTGATCAAAAGCAAATAGTAAGTCCATTCAGGGATTTACATAAACACATTCTTTTTGTTGTTGTTGTATCCTCCAGTACTTTTTCAATTTTAATTTAACACATGGTTTTATGAGCAAATTTTGAACAGCCAGAAAGTGCTGACTCTGGGACCAAGGTACCCAAACTGTTATAAAGATACTTGTGTTTTTAAAGGGGGGCGGGGGGCCACATTAAAAAGAAGTCTGCTTCCTTCACTGGAGTTAAACAATTAAAATCAAGTGGGCTGTATTGCTCAGGAAAGAGCTCATATTAGAAAGCGAAGTTCTATTACATATTTTTATAGTTACTAATAAGGTCAGAAGTCTCAGAATTTGACTCTTTCCATTGAAATTACCCTTTGTTATTTAAAAAATGTTTCTGTGGGGTGGCATTATAAAAATGAGAAAAGAAAGGTGGGAGGGGTAGTCACACTTGACTTCCAAGAACATCCCTCCCGCGCCCCCCCAAAGAATTCAGACTTTGTGGCAGGAGCACTTCTCTCCCACACAGATGTTCACTTAGAAGGTCACTGCTTATGGTATGTAAGTATGTACAGCTCAGAGATTTATGGTGGGAAGAACTTGAGCATTTATATGATCGTAATCATTCATACGACCTTGCCCTTGACTGTTTTCTGTGTTGGTAAAGGTGGATTCTGCAATCCACAAGCCCACTCTCCAAAGCCTCATTTCAGTGTGGCTTTCTTTTTCGCTTCTTGAACTGCCTTGCTCTGTAACATTGCTCAGTGGCGTTGAGCAGTTGCCAGGTCGCATTTCAGAAGGAGAAGCTAAGAATACCTTATGCCTTCAGTGAAAGCACTCACCAAGCTGAGACCCCCCCCCCCGCCAAAAAAAAAAAAATCAACTAGGCCTAACTCCAGACAGGTGTTTTGTTTTTGCGTTTTTTTTTTTTTAAATAGAAAAAATGAAACAAAGCAGGAAGGCTTCCCATTTACTGTTATGTAACATGGCCTTTTAAATTTTTTCTATTGTTATTTATAAGGATTTGATAAAGAATCTATCCCAAGAAACAGTTGTCTCTCTTAGGGAGATAATCATTTAAAAAATAAATGTACCACATCCTTTAAAACTGATTATAATTTGTCAACATAACTTAGAGCAAAAATAATTTTAACTCTTTCCGGGATCAACCTCTCACTTTAAGGACTGCCCCTGTGCTAACACAACAGAGGGAGAATACAAGTGTTAACTAAAACACCTCTGACATTAAGACAGAGGGACTCCAGCAGCAGTGATTATATCCTTACACCCTACATCTGAGGTTCTCTGGACGGACTGATAACAGAGACCCAGCCCTGGCCCTCAGGAGCTTGCTCATCATTTATATGACCTTGGGCAGACTGCTTGATCTTTAAACCACTGGTTCTACATCAGAAGAACTGAGTTCCTGGTAGGTGTTAGCAGTTACCAAGTACCTATTTTCCTTTTCTGAATCCATACCAAGGCTTTTTCTTGCCCAGGTACAGAGGTCATGATGCAATTGAGAACCCCGGCATGACTGTGGGGCTAAAGAAAGCTCTAGCTTCTTTCTTAGCTCCCAGGCAGAGTTAGACGTTATGTAAGAGCAGTTGCATTTCCATGCACCACAGAGTACAGTGAAATCCTCTGTGTGGCTCTTATTCCTTCCAGATTTAACTATTTGGTGTTTCATTTGGTGTAATTTAGATAACTCTATAAAATCAAGATTCCATATAATGAAAACAACCACAGAAACCTGGCTACTTAGGCAAATTAAGTAATTTAAAGAAAAGAACATTAAGAATTACAGTGAGAGAATACTTTAAAATATGACTTTAAAGTAGACTTGAAGTGGCAACTGGTTCATGTTAGAGTCTCAGATACTTGCATTCTGCCTATAAGTGAAAGATGTAACATATTATATTAATAGATTTAATGTTGCCAAGATAATATGCAATGAATCCCGAAATGTGAACTGATACTGTAATTAGACTATCACATGAGCCTTGTAATATTTACTAAAATTACTGATTCAAGACCTACTGGGTTTAAACCGATGAGAGTGAACCCATCGATCCTGGTAGAGCAGACCTGCTGCCATTTGATAAACGGGATGATCGAAATGGCCAGCTCTCCTGCTGAAAGTGGTCTTTCCTTTCCTCCGAAGGACACAGATCCAAGACCTGTGGTCCTCATTTGATTCCCATCTGAGAATAAACACAAAATGAACCATCAAATAAAAATAGAGTTATTGTGAAGGGTGGAATTAAACTACATGATCTAGAAGTTATTTTGCAGCTCTAAAATTCTCTTGGGGCGGTTGGCTAGCTCAGTCGGTGGAGCGTGTGACTCTTGATCTCGGGGTTGTGAGTTCGAGCCCTCCAATGGGTGTAGAGACTGCTTCAGAATTAAAGTTCTCTCGGGTTTTTTTTTTGTTTTAAGATTTTATTTATTTGACAGAGAGAGAGAGACACAGGGAGAGAGGGAACACAGCAGGGGGAGTGGGAGAGGGAGAAGCAGGCTTCCTGCCGAGCAGGGAGCCTGATGCGGGGCTCAATCCCAGGACCCCGAGATCATGACCTGAGCCGAAGGCAGTCGCTTAACCAACTGAGCCACCCAGGCACCCCAGAATTAAAGTTCTCTTGATTACATTATATTGAGAAGCATTAAGATTTGTTAAGGTAATTACTGTTTTCCACTGTTAAAACTTTATTAAGGCCCATATGAGGACAAGATAATAATGTTTATTTTTAAAAAGAATTAACCTATATATGAAGGAATATTTTTTTAAAACTAGTTATATCAACAGTCCGTGAACTATCATATTCGCCAAATGGGCTACCTGTGCAACCATCACAACACCACCATCCCCCACTTCTTTACTCATCTCCACTCTTCCTTCCCCTGTCCCTATATTTAGTAAGATGCAAATGTTCAAGAAACATCTGCTGAATGACTAAATGAGCATACAATATGACAGGAGGGACCTTTCTTTGTGGTGGTGGTGAGTGTTGTTATTTTGAAATCATTTCTCCCACAGCAGGAAATTTCAACATAAAAATAGGTTCTCCTAATGATTTTAAGACACATACTGTTACAATTTTTTAATCAAATTCATGTGAGTTTTTTAAATGCAGTAAAACAATATCATGTCTTATATTTGACTGGAGAATCTGTGTTCACATTTTAAGTGTCAGAAATTTGAATATTGTTTTGAATTAATAGCATTATAAAAAGTTAAATGCAATATAACTAATGGAAAAGGCAACCTAGAATGTCTCATTATTAAACATTATTGCCCTTCCTGTGGGTAGGACTATGGAGTGTCTGACAGACATTTTAAAGGAATAAATGTTTTCCTTCAAATAAAAGATTAAATTGAATTATATATATAATATTCTATTCTAATATA